TATAACGATTACAGCACAATTAAGCATACAAGAATAAGGATTCCACTGTATAACAACATAGAGCAAATTTACCGTGACGTGGGTGTCACGTTTGTGTATCCGATGCCCTTGCGGGAGGTGGGGAAGAGCATGAACACCAGCGTCGACACCACCCCTGCGCCGAGCGGCAGATTCACGAGGAGCTCCCTCGCGTTCGTTCCCGAGTCCGGGAACAAGCAGTGCTGAACCATGGCGTCGCTGAAGGCTAACGTCAGGAACACCAGCACGGCGAAGACAGCATGCACGCAGTCCAGCGGCCGCAGCCGGTACTCGTCCAGGTCGCCGAACACCCGCCTCCGCTCCTCCTCGTTCGCCTCGTTGCAGTTGAAGACGTAGAGGCCCCGCATCGTGGCGACGCCGTAGTAGAGCTTGTTGTCGGCGCCGACGAGGCTGTCGGTGATCGAGAAGAAGGCGCAGGAGACGGCGCTGAGGGCGATGAGAACGCAGGTGAGTTCCCGGTTGGTGGCGTAGCACTCGCCTCGGCGGGTGAAGGATGGGGAGAGGGATTGGAAGGCCAGTACGGTGGCGGTCGGCAGGAGCTGCGCGAGGTTCGACGCCGTCGATAGGGTCTTGTCGACCACCCAGCTGCTTTGCTTCGATTGAGGACTCACACGTGCAGCATGCCCTTCCTGCATCTCCGAGCTCTCGGGTATACGAGCAACCCAAGAAGCGGCCATTGCTGGTTGAAGTCGGAGAGACGAAGAAATGTTGGAGTTCTATGGCATTCAAAGTGCAACGTGGCCAGTAAGACTGTACAAATGTTGTGGTGAAGAACACACTGAAATCAAAGATAAAAAAGAACAAACCAATAAGATAATACAAGACTAATAACCTCTTTTAAGATCATCAAAATATATTTTCGTCACCAAAATCTTGAAATATATAAGGTATTTATAGAATAGATGAATCCTAAGAATTCCTAATTCTTAAATAATTTAATTTTTTTTATTAGATTATATAATTTTATTTTTTTGAGTAATAAATATTATAAATCTAATTGAATTTATAATTATAGGTTACTAAATAAAAGGTTAATTATGATATGACAGACTCTTTTAATTACTTATAGTACCTTCTTTTACGTATGATAACATACATAATAAAGATTACATATATTTTAAGAATTCAAAAGTCGAAAGGTTTTTGTGAATAGAAAGTTACGTACATCTAAATTTTAATCTATGATTATTTGATTTTAATTTTTGATGTTAAAATTTTTTTTATATAACATAAATATGATTATAATTTTTATGCTTATAATTTTAGAATGAAAAAACTTATGATTAAGAGGATCTGATAACCAAAAAGAAGATGGCGACGGAACAAAAAGAAAGAAAGATTAGTGGCAATGCATGCATGCGCTTTGTTTTCACTGTGCGTGAATGATGTGGATGGCGTTAAAGGATATCCTTTAAGGTAGTTGGGAGATTAATTAGATCAGCAAAGTTATGTTTTTTGCCCTTATGATTCGGAGACCGCGTGGAGGAGAAGAAGGAAGAAATGATGCTACAGCTGAGGAAAAATGTGCGGTAGAGGAGAAAGATGTGACAGAGGGGTAGCTATAGTAGAGGAGATAGCTACAGCGAGGAACAGTGATACTATAGCAAATAAGGTAGCTATAATAGAGAAGGTAGTTGCAACGATACTGCAAGAAAACTGCGGCAAGAGAAATCTGTAACGATTTGGTGGAGAAATATGCAACAATTTGGTAGAGAAATTTGCAATGATTAACTCCGAATTCATCATTTGCAAATCGAAATTAGGAGATCATTTGTTCCGTACCTCTAGTTAACTATTTATTAAGCCGGTGGAATGGACATATTTATCGAGTATTTTTTTTTTAATTTTCTAACTGATTTAAAATCCAAACGAAATTGGGGATTATTTATTTGATCCCTAAATTAGTCCCTTCAGTTAGATTTGATCATTTAGATTTTCTTTTTAGAATCTTACTATTTACGATCTTTTTACTGTTCAAAATCTCTTTTTATAGATAAATAATTAAAATAATACTAAACTATTATTTTACACTTTAGTATTATCCAATTTATTTATTAATTATTATTATTATTATTATTATTATTTATTTTTTCTTCCCAATAACCCCTCCCATATTGTATGTATCCCGCTTTCCATCCCCGCTGCTGTTGATACAGCCACCGTCGACACCACTGGCCGTCATCGCCGGTGCTGCTTGACGCCGCAACAAGACGATTGTAAATAACAAAAAGGGGGTCACAAATAATAATCTGTTTTTCTTATTATATTTATGCATATATAATACATAAAAGTGCATACAATTACAGTTTAATCGATCATACGAGAACAAGGATTCACCTACGCGATCATAATGGAAAAACCAACATGTAGCAAATCTACTGTGAAGTGGGTGCCGTGTTAGTGTATCCGATCCCCTTGCGAGAGGTGGGGAAGACGATGAACACCAGCGTCGACACCACCCCTGCGCCGAGCGGCAGGTTCACGAGCAGCTCCCTCGCGTTCGGTCCCGCGTCCGGGAACAAGCAGTGCTGAACCATGGCGTCGCCGAAGGCTATCGTCAGGAACACCAGCACGGTGAAGACGGCATGCACGTAGTCCAGCGGCCGCAGCCGGTACTCCTCCAGGTCGCCCAACACCCGCCTCCGCACCTCCTCGTCCGCCCCGTTGTAGTTGAAGACGTAGAGGCTCCGCAGCGTGGCGACGCCGTAGTAGAGCCTGTTGTCGGCGCCGACGAGGCTGTCGGTGATCGAGAAGAAGACGCAGAAGACGGCGTTGAGGGCGATGAGGACGGAGATGAGGCACCTGTTGGAGGTGTAGCACGCGCCTCCGCGGGTGAAGGATGGGGCGAGGGCTTGGAAGGTCAGCACGGTGCCGGTCGGCAGGAGCTGCGCGAGGTTCGCCGCCGTCGACAGGGTCTTGTCCATCACCAGCGTGGTCGGCGTCGGCGGAGGACTCGCGCGTGCGGCATGCCCTTCCTCCGTCTCCCTGATCTCGGGCATACGAGTAGATGAAGAAGCGGCCATCGCTGGTTTACGTCGGAGAGGCGAAGGAACGTTGCGGTGCTGTGACATTTTTAAGTGCAATAAGACCGGCAAGACTATACGATGAAATCAGCAATAAAAGAACAAACAAAAAAAGTCAAATGTATGATTACCATCAGACTTTGTATTGTTTATGCATTTCCATCACCAAAATCTCGATATAAGGCATGCATTTCCATCACCAAACGATTGAAGTTATTTTAGGACTAAAAATACTTATCGGAGCTAATAATAATACGTAATAGTTTCTTCCTTAGATCAGACACACGTTATGATGTAATTTGAGGAGCTGACCACCAACAATCCGATGCCATCAATGCGGGAGAAGATTGATGGCATCGCCATGCATGCGCTTTGTTTTCTACGTGCTTGAATGATGTGTGACTGGCAGAAATATTTTGATATTAAGATAAAGATTAGTAGTGCAACTTTACACCCAATGATCAATTTCTTTAACGTTCCTCCTTCGTGTTGTTCATCTTCAACGCTCGACCGACTGCATCTACCTCTCTATTTATATGTTCTTTCCCAACACTCGACCGAGTGAGGCATCACCAATGATGGATTTGACTTGGCTAATTGGTGGTGATATGATATGATATGCAACGAGAGACGGAGACTTGATGGATAAGGAAGCCATCCGCTATGTTGCGTGTGGTGATGTGGATGGCATCGCGAGGTGAGAGAGAAGAAGAAGAGGAAGGGCATAAGACTCGGCAGCGTCTGACGTTGTGAAGATGATGACAGAAGAAGCAATAATGAGATGGCGTGTTTGGGTTAATGTAAGTAATATTGGTGATGCCCAATCTGATGCATTTCGTGCAGTCTTATTTTTTTGGGGTCGAGAGTAATGAATGATGTATCAACCAAATCTGACATTGATGGATTGATTCCCAAGTTGCATTGCCAGACTCAGAAGGATGAATTAAACGATAGGAGAACATTTTGTGCAAGTCGAGTTTTATTGCCACCACATGATGATGTGTGGATGTGACTTTTGATGAATCAAAACACATTCTTATTCGTGTCTTTCTTTTTTTTATAGGATTTGATGATGACTGAAATTAAAAATGCATCTTGCGGTTGAACTCACTCCACCTCCTCTGTCTCTTACTTATATTATTATTTTTATTATTATTATTATTATTATTATTATTATTATTATTATTATATTGTATATATTGTTTTGGTAACTCTCGTATGATAACAATCTACGATACAAACAATTTCGATTCTAGAATCGACGATTCTGATTCTATTAAGAGGTTTTAGACGATTTTGACTTTGATTTTGTCAAACTTGAAATCGAAACGGAACCAATTCTAGACAATTTTGATTCCAAACTAGAATCATCTATCTTAATTAAAATGTTTTATTTTTATTTTTTTAAATAAAAATACCTCTCTTGTCACTTATTAAGATATAAAGGAATAAAATTGAGGGGCATATGATCATTTAGATTTTTTTTAATTTTTTTGATCGATTCATATCAAATCGACATCATCGATTTTGATTCTAGATCTCAAGAAATGAAACGAAACCCAAGAACTCAATTCCAACTTAGTTTAGAATCATTAATCTATTGATCGGGAAAAATCACATAACAGAGTGCTCACACTTAATGGGATAAGGATTGGAAGAATAAATGATGATGAGGACGAAAAAGAGGACATTTTCTATTACTAGCCCCCATTTCATTTATATTATTATATTTATATATAATATATATTTATTAATAATAATATAAAAAAAATACATATTTGATAATTGAATTCGATACCTATCACTCCGACATCTCAACATTAATCATAAAATCAATCAATGATAGAATTTGAGAGGCACATTACATGAATTATTTGGATAATCAATTATACTCTAATTTACACAAATTAAGTATCATTCGAAAGATGTATCAATATAATTTTAAATAAATTATGTTGTGTATGAATTGGAGTTTTGAACGAGGAGTTATAACCAATTTAGTAACGAAAGGTGAAAGAACATTATCTCTATTTTGCATAATTCATATAGTTGATTAAAATAGATGCTTCAATAACATTTATATTTTAATTTTTTCAAAGCATAACAAGATTTATGAGTTTAGTTTATGATAAATCATGTTTTATGTAAATCAGAGTTTTTAACATAGAGTTATAAGCAAGAGAGCACTGAAATGTCAAAATTAATAATCTCTATTTTATAGATTTTGTATGAACAATTGAAATAACAGTTTGGGTAGATAATTAAATAAAGAATTATGAGTATATTTTCGGATGAATTTGATTTTTTTCTAAATCAAAAATCGATGCAGAAAGTTATTGCTAGAATAATATAGAAATATCAAATTTTTTAAAAAATTAGATTCACAGTTTTATTATCAAACAATAGAAATATCATGTTCATATAAATTATATATTCAAAAATTTTATAAGTAAAATAATAAATAAAATAAAATAAAAATATTTCATCAAAAGTTCAACATCTTAATAAATATTTGCCTCTTGCACCTTATTCCAAATATTTCATCAAAAGTTCAGCATCTTTACAATTATTATTATTATTTACTTTTGTTAATAATTTTATTTTTTTTCTCAAATAAAATGGATTAATCATGAGAGAATACAGAGAAACAACGTGTTCGTCTAAGCCACGAGAACTTTACGTTTTTGCCCCCACCCAAAGGATCAGATTGACGACGAAGGATGAGATGGAGATGGGGTTGGGGATGGGAACGCAACTTCCAAACAACCACCGGAGATGGACACAGAAGCTCCTCGATTCGGTTTGCTGCTTCGTCTTCCCCATTCGGAATCCACCGATACTGCTGCTGGTCACTGAAGATATGATTCTTTGATTTATTGACAGCCACTGAACAACAACTCTGACGAATTCGGTATCATCTACCCATATAAATCACAACGCAGGATTGAAGCCACCTACCACTGCACCTAATCTTCCATTCCTTCCTCAAAAGTCACTTCTTTCCTTCTCCGTCCTTCAAAAAAATCGACGGTAGGCCTTCGACCTGACTCGAAGAAGCACGGCGAAAAGGGCCGAAGAGAGAAGCTATCAGCTTCCGACTGCACTTCTTTCCTACTCCAGCCGAAGCATTCGCCTCAGCGCCACGGTGGCCAAGTACTCCCCCACCGCCGGCGCGTCCTTCTTCAAGGAGAACCTCGGCAGCGGCAGCGCGCTCGGGGAGGGCGAGTTCGAGAAGCCCGTCCCTGCGTACACCTGCGCCGCTGCCTCTCCCCTCTTCGGCATCTCGCCGCCTTTCCTGCCCATCCGGCGGTTTCCGCCGGCGGAGTCGGCTCTCTTGGTCGGCTTCGCCCACCGCTCGCGCTGCTTCCTGCCCTCCGGCGGAGGCCGGCGGTGGGAGACCGGACTGGGTTTCCGGCGGGGGGCGAGGGCGGGGATGGGCGCTTCGAGGAAGTTATGGGGTCGCAACACCCGGGTGGTCATGGCGGTGGATGGCAAGCAAAGACTGAAGCTTTTTGAGCGCTGGAGGAGGAGCAGGGAGGGATTATAAGGAGGCGGAGGAGGAAGGAAGGAAGGAAGCAGGTGATTGAAGGCATCACGAGGCGACTTCGACGATGGTTCTTTGGAGTGGTTAGAACGAACTCATCGAAGCCATGTGGTGGGGGTTGGAAGCAGTCCAACTCTGCGGTCCGGTCAACCCGCGTCGACGTAACGGTGGCCCGTTTGGTCCTTGCTGGCGCCGCCTCGGACACGTTTGGCGGCCGTTCCACTCCCTCCGACGCGGCATCTGATTGGCTCTCCCTGCTGGCGTGGGGCCCGCGCACTCATTCCTTTTGTTTCCGATGCCATTTCGATTACATAGACATATATTATTATCGTCTAATTTAAAATTCCCAATTGGACCGCACGATCAAGAAAAATTATGATCCGGTCCGACACGTTGACCTGATCTAACACTTGATGGTTCGAATTCAAAATAGGGCCGAACTGACCAGATCAAATGTGTGGCTCAATTGCTTCGCCCTAAAAGACTGAATCGGAACGAGTTAATTGCCACTACCGATCACGTGGATCTCACGTGTTACGAAGCATGCCAACAAGAAACCCGAGAAGACGAAGAGCACAAAAAGGAAAAGGCGACGGCTCTTGGGTAGGAGAAAGCTGGTCCGGATTAGCTGTACGTGACAGACAGCCACCATCTTTTCCGTTCCAAGTATGACTGCCTTGTTTGGCACCACCGTCTTTGACTTGCGAACACAGGCTGCCACGTCGTCGGGAAACGTCGCTGCTGTTTGGTGTTACGGGCCCCACATCTTGCTACTGCCACTGCTGCCGTCCAAGTCGGGCGTTACGAATACGCCGAGAGAGGAACGGCGAAGATGTATATTTGTACGTATACGTACGTGGGAGTGGTCACTGAGCGCAAGGAACAATATATTCTCGGCTACAGGCAACAGTCGATTCACTGGACCAGACAACAACACGAGTCCGACATGGAAAACAACAACACTTCCCGCCATTCCCGATCCTACAAAAAGCCCGCGCCGCATCCCCCCACCTCCGACACCGGCGTGCTTCCTCCTCCACAGCCGTCATGGTGGGGGTAGTTTCTTGCGACTCCATGCGAGTCATGGGATCGTAGCATGTTTTGTCCTCAGCTTATGGTCTGTAGCCATTAGTATTCATATGAAAGACCGGGATGTGAAGACAAATCTAAATAAATGTGTCCCACAGACTGCCGAGGAAAGAGAAGGAGACTCACGAGAGACTGGTGAGTTGTTCGCTGCGGACTCAGAGTGGAGTCGGGGAGACAGCTAATAAATGTTTTGGACAATCCAAAAGAGCTTAGAAAGAAGCAAAAGAAAAAAGCGGCCACGGCATAAAAATAAGATGGCGTTGGACCATTCCATCCCTTCCCGCGATGTCGAAGAAGAGAGAGGAGGAGAGCAGCTCTTCTCTCGCATTCGTGTCCCAACCCCAAAATGATGAGCAGCGAGCACACTATCGCTACAACGCAGTGAGTGCGCGAGAGGAGGAGGGAAAGCTGCCACCACACAATAAGCCAACTTACTTCGTCCCCACGCTTCCTTCCCCCCGTATCCTTCATTGCACTCTGCTGCTGCTGCGCTCCTCTATTGGTTCCCACCATTTCAAAGCTTCTTCGTGCCCTTCCCCACCACCACCTGAAATAATATGCTACTACTCCCCATTCCATTTTATCTTCCGTAACCCCAAAAGAGAGAGAGAGGGAGGGTGGTCGTAGTCTTTGTTGTGCTGCTGTGAATCTCTGGTTGACAATGCAGTCACCTGAAGTGAGGGTGGAGGCCGTACTCCTTGTGGTCTTCTTTGTGGTCTTCGTCCCGGCGTCGGCGATACTGCACCCAGTGGACTATTTGGTGCTGCAGTCCATCCGCAAGTCGCTGGCCGACCTCCCAGGCTCCGCCTTCTTCGCCACCTGGGACTTCACCGCCGATCCCTGCGCCTTCGCTGGCGTGGTCTGCTCCGGCGACCGCGTCGTCGCCCTCTCCCTCGGCGACCCCCGCGCGGGTTCCCCGGGCCTCTCCGGCAGCCTCCCCTCCTCCCTCGCTCGCCTCTCCGCGCTCGAGGAGCTGTCCCTCGTCCCCGGCCTCGTTGCCGGCTCCCTCCCTGCCGCTTTTCCCCCGGGCCTCCGCTTCCTCGCCCTCGCCAGTAACCGCATCTCCGGCCCGCTGCCGCACTCCCTCGCGGCCCTCCGCGGCCTCCGGACCCTCGACCTCAGCAACAATCTCCTATCCGGCAACATCCCCACCGCCCTCCTCCGCCTACCGGAGCTCCGGACCGTCATCCTCGCCCACAACCGCCTCGCTGGCCCCGTCCCCGCCTCCGTCGCCGCCCCTCTCCTCCGCCTCGACCTCAGGAGTAACGCCCTCACCGGCTCCGTTCCGTCCCTGCCCCCTTCCCTCATCTACCTCTCCCTCGCCTCCAATCGGCTCTCCGGCCACGTCGATCGAGTTCTCCCTCGGCTCAACCGGCTCAGCTTCCTCGACCTAAGCGCGAACAGGCTCTCCGGTCCCATCCCGGGAATCCTCTTCACCTTCCCCATCTCGTGGCTGCAGGTGCAGAGAAACCAGTTCTCCGGTCCCCTCAGGCTGGGCGGCCCGCTCCCGGTGTCGGGGGCGACGGTCGACCTCAGCTACAACCGGTTCACCGGCAAAGTGCCGGCGGAACTGGCGCCAGCAGGGCGGCTGTACCTGGACTTCAACCGGTTCGAGGGGGATGTGCCGGCGGCGATCGTGGACCGGGTGGTGGCGGGGGGCATGCGGGTGCTCTACCTGCACCACAACTACCTGACGGGATTCCGGATCGGGACGGCTGCGTCGGTGCCGGCGGGCACCTCGCTGTGCCTGCAGTACAACTGCTTGGTGCCGCCGGTCGACGCGCCGTGCCCACGCAATGCCGGGCCAAGGACGGCACGGCCACCGCAGCAGTGTGCCGGCGGCGGCAAGAAGGGCTGACGGAAGAAGACAGATGCCGAAGAGGAGCGAATTTTTTTCTCTTTCAAACAAAATGGTAGATTTTTACCTTTCTTTACTGCAAATACAAAAAAAAAAAAAACAAGTGTATTTTGGGGCGAGTAATTATTACACATTTTGATATTTTTTTTGGGGGCATACTACTGCATACTTTTGGAATCCTACACTCCAAAGTCTACAACAACTTCAAAGACTCACATCGTTCGATATGCGGTGTTATAGTCTCATCCCAGATGGAGTGTAAGGTTTTGATCAGTTTAAACGTTATGATTAAAGGTTTAAACAGCGGTGGACCGAGTGGATTTAAAAGCCCCGAAGAATTCCAAATGGATTTAAAATCTCAACAAATAATCTGCAGATGAGCAGCATGGCCACTCATCAATAACTGGCTTGGCACATCCAAGTGTGCACAAATTGTTAGATGCAGTCACTGTTGAGGTTAATGGTAATATAGAGAGGACATCGGTAATATAACTTTTGTTGCCTAGTGCTTAGCTATGTCTGTCCTGAAGAAGGTTACTATTAGGCTTTGCCATCCTATGGTTTAGGAAGGAATCAAATCATATTAGTCTCCCCTACCAAATAATTTTAATCCCTCAAAACTCCTTGGGGCATGGGGCGGAGCTACAGTCCAGGTGTCGGTCATGGGTAGGAAAGATCAACATCTAGTCCGAGGGACCTCTGACTTTTGTCCCATCAGCAAATAGCACCAAATCATGGGTCCACTTCAAGAGAGATAGTACATATGGGTTCACTTCAAGAGGGAAGGGAGGTACCTCGTGTGAGAAACGGGTGTGGAAAGCAAGTGCAGCATATGGGTTCTCCGTCATGGCTGTTGCTTGTCAAACAAACGCCTCTTTAAGAACAGCGCAATATCCTCAACCTTGTTAAGGTGGAAAAGAGCAAGGCAAGCCGAGAAGCACACTACTGCAGAAACTGCTACGAGGACGGCAACATGCATGGCCGTCTTCCTGGTGAGAGAGGTTCCCCGTAACCCCCCTTCCTTGGGATGGCAGTTTGGGATTTGGCCTCGTTCTGACATTAGAACGGGGGTAGCGTCGTGCTCTTCTTCTTCTTCTTCTTCTTCTTCTTTATCACCATCTTTATTTCTCCTCCCTGTATCCTGGAATACAAATATTGTGTTACTTAGTAGCAAGGTCAGCGGCTGCAGTATTTGAATAATAAAATGGAAAGTTCAATGAGTGCTCAGCTAAAAATTAGACAGTATCCTTTGTCTTAGTAAATAAAAAAGACACAAGTAATGTAATATTACAAATTTAACAAACAAATGAAACAACTAGGAGAGATGGTCGAGCAAAGATGGCTGGGAAATTTAATTTACTTACTTGATTTCCATAAAGCACATTATTTTTCTTGTCAGAGTCTCCGTCGCTTTGTGAAAAATCAGAGCGACAGCTTGAGTTCTCTGAACCCAATTCCAATCTCATATGATATATTCTCCTCTGAGAAAGAATTTCCCTTGCCTGGTTCATATAATTCAGGAAAAGACACCAATCATCATCCCAAGTGTCATTTGCGTTGCATTTTAAGCTCGGCAAATTTATCCCATCTAAGTAGTGTAGTACAACTTCCAGAAGATTAAAAGACTCCATCTGTAGTAGGAATTTCGATAGTCTCATTAGCCTCCATATGTTTGTTGAACTCAGGAGTTCTTCTCTTTTCTCTAAGACAGGATTTCGAAGGACCCATGCAAAGTCCAAAAGTAGTGCTGAGATACCAGTTTGTTTCGAGACAAAAGACTTGCAGGAACGTGAAGTGGCATCAGCATCTGTCGTCCTGTAAATATCATCTAAACAGCAATCGTCACAAATTTTTCTGTATATTTTCTCAAACTCTGAACATATAAGTTTGTTCCCGAAAAGGATAGGGACAAAGTTTGAAATTCCTAATTTGTTCTCCACCTACAAAAGATAAGTTTTGCAATTTAGGGAGAAGATATTTGGTAGTATCAACTACATACCGAGAGGATACGAGCATCCAACTCGAACAACATTTCAGCATTTGTATTGCAAATTAAATTTATTGTTCATACAGAATAAATTTTTAGTAAATGTCTAATCACAGATGATACATAAAATTACAGTGTATAGTCATGTAATTACGAACAGGAAGACAAAATACTAATATCTGAGAATAGATACTGGACTATATCTACCAATATAAATTAGGTCCGTCGATGCAACAGGACTAGAAGGTATAACATATGCACAAAAGCGTGAAGATATACAAAGCAACTTCAAGTTGACGTTCGATAAAACAAAAAGGAACATTTTACCATGAGTGAATCAGAAAACCTTGAAAATACGAACCTCAATAAATGCAGGTCCAAATATATCAGAATCTGTCTGAGGAATATTTATCCTGAACATCTGATGCTCACAATGGCAAAGAGAATCCATGTCATTTACTTTGCATGGTGTGATCTCCTCTTGATACAATCCCAGATATTTTCCTGCAAAAGACACAAAAAACCTGCGACAAAAAGTATTAATTTCGTGTGATTTCTACATAATTAAATGAATTGAAACTTCGAAACGCTCACCAGTAACTGGATACAAATCAAAGGAACTAGGCGAGCAACATTATTAAGTTTTTCATTCAAGAGATAGTGAATAACAACATCACTAATTCTAGCACGCAATCTTACAATAGAAAATGCAAACTAACAGATGTCATCGCCGGTGATGTTATTTCTAAATTTTTGAAGTAAAAAAATCATAAAAAATTGAAATTCAAGATAACTACTGTGATCAATAAGAACCATCAAACTGCTAGAGACCCTTGTTTAATGGTGTCTCAAATCCTAAGAATATTAAGCAAAAAAATCATTCTACTCCAGATCACTGCTTGTTAATAGTTCTATCAGATTGACGAGAAGTACAAATATCAAGATGCGAACAAATCATACAAAGCAAGAGCTGCTGCTCCCGAGTCCTAATATATCAATGATATCAACAACAACAAAGTTGCAATGTCCCAACTCTTTGGGTTCGGCTGCATGGATACTTTGCTGTCATTGCACTGATATCTAATAATATTAGAGAAGAAAAAACAACTGCAAAAAAAAAAAATGCAAGTATCTAGAACATCAACAAGAACAATATGTTGATGCAAGTGCAAAGTCATACTTATTATGCAACAAAAAGGTCACACATATTAGTAGCCATTTACCTAAACTTGGGCTGGTTAATATTGCTGCCGCAGGCAATAAACTCCACTGGTTGGCCAGCCTCAAAAAAGGTAGGATAAACATAATGGAGCCTCGGAACTTGCACCTCCATCCTGGTGCTCATCAATGAAGTTTGATCTAAATTCATGGAGCAAAAAGTCTCAAAAATTATGAAACTCAATGCCTACTTAAATACCAATTTTGATCATTGAGCAAATATAACTGGTCTAAATCCACAAAAATAAGTGGTCAAAAATCACAAATATAAAAGAGCCAAAATCACGTTCTTTTTCATTTGCTCCCATAGACTGCCACTTGCACACCTGTGCTGGCACCAGGTTCAAAAAACTAGTTGGACTAGTACATACCAACAGATATTTATTGGTCCAACTAGGAACCAGCACCAACCGCCTTGTATAGTCAGAAATTGAATTTTGTTAGTTTCTTAATATGAAGCTGTTGACAGACAACTGTTTACTATCAATAGCCATCCTCTCCTCCTCTTCCCCTCTTCTCTCTTTCTTGTGGGCTCTCATTGGTCAGAAACCTGATTCCTAATAGTTAGAATTTCAAGAGAATATGTATCAAATTGGACTCTCATTGACCCTCTTAGTTCATCACTAAAACTTAAAATTACAACGAAAATCATCCAACAATAATAGGAAAATATTCAATACATCACTCTGTCACAATTAACACAAACTTATATAAGACCTAACTTGAATCTGTCCTATTTCACATGTGCCCCTCCATCATATAATCTATTGCATATCAAATGAGTGGTAAATTATTCTGTGGTGTATTTTGCTCATTGATATCAATATTCTTAATATGTTCTACAAATATACATAATCACATATCAGTATTTTTACCAATAATGAATGTGCATCATTTGTATCACTATTTTTATTGCCTTGATGCATATCTGCATAATCACGTATTTTGCTCACTAATAGAAATATTCTTACTATGCTCTAGCATGTATACGTGCTCATATGTAAGCACACATACATATACATATGTATGTATATGTATATGTATATGTATATATATATGTATATGTATATATATATGTATATATATATATATATATATATATATATATATATATATACACACATGTATGTACGTAAGAATATTGCTCACTAATAGCAATATTCTTACTATGCTCTAGCATGTATACATGCTCATATGGAAGCACACATGCATGTACCTATAAACATACATATTTACAGATAAATCATATATACATATACATATACACATACATACATATACATATATATACACATGTATACACACACACACACACATATGAATTTAACTTCATACATCCATACAGACATACAAACACATAGGTGGGCAGATAACATTGCACTAAGATGGTAGTCAAAAGAGCTTAAAGAAGCCACATATCCAGTTAAACTTAGCAATGTCAAAAAGATAACATTATTTGTCCATAAAAAAAAAATTCAGCACATACCTTCCAAAATTTGAACAATAGTGTTACATAGGTAAATATGAATGTTGCCTCTTCCAATGAGCAGGCTATCGGGTGCATAAACCAAGTATCGGATACAGCTAACTGCGTTCTGTGATAACTGTGTAAAGCAAGGTTATACCATAACTCTGATTAGAGAAAGGACCATCTTTTATTCAGACTAGATAGAAAGAGGAAAACTACCAAAAATTTAAGTTAATAGTCTAAATGCAATGTTCCTTCAATTTTCATGTATTACTCAACAATGCAGATGATATTCTGAGAAACCATAGTACTCAGAAAAAAGTTGAGCATGACCTATTAATCTTGAATAATGGATGAATAGTGTTGTTCTAAGATAAATGATCCATTACCTTCTCCCACATGAACTCTGGCATTGCTATAAATATAGTCAATATAGTACACCCAGGTCGAATATAACCCTCCAACTCAACAGGCATACTTGACAACCACTTAAAGACCTGTATTCGGAACAAATAATTATTAAATTAGCCTCTGGGATCTTGAAGAGAAAATCCATAATGAACAATGAAGTTACAAGTTTTTTATACATACTTGATGCCGAAGTTGTCTTGGAAACTCTGCAGGATTCCAGTCATAAAGCTTGAATGATATTCGACCTGTAGGACACTACAAACAAGTAGTCCCTCATGTGGTATATGTAATAAACATAGTTCAAATACATGAATGGAAATGAAAGCTTCTTAAAACAGAACATTGCAGTAAAGATGAACTCAATTCCAGGAATGACAAAGTTCATGAACATACCACGGATGAATAAGCACTCTTACTGTTGCAAAGGGTAGAAGAAATCGGAGACTTGGAGTTATCAGCTTTCTCTTCGTTCTGAGTTTCATCAGATGTAGCAAAGGGCAAAAAACCACTGCCATAATTAGTTTGTTGGTCATATCCATCATCTGATTCGAAAGGAACATTTCTTTCAATTAGTTTGTCGGTCACAACTTTCTCATCGGTCTGGCATGCAAGTCCATTTAACATCTCTGTACAACAAAGAAGCAGAAGTAGATAAGGTGTCTGTGCCAAATGTTGTGCAAAATCAAAGCCGATTATATGGTCACAAGATTATCTCAACCATAGGTTCGCTAAATATATAGACTCTTTTGGTATTAAAAAAAAAATAAACTTTTCCCCTCTAGATGAGCCAGTGAACTTCTTGTTGAACACCGGAATATACTGATATGAAGCTATCCCTATCACAAACTAAACTAATTTCGAATTGCATCTAGAATTTGGTTATATTGCTATCTAGATGAGCAATATGAATGGGAAGGTATTCAGATTCCACTATTCACACCTGTCCCACATTCATTTGGTTGCAGGCCTTTTTGAGGTTCTTTGTCTTGTTCAGTCATGGATATGCTATCAGCATGTCTTCTCCGCCTTCTTTTATTGTGATGCTCTAATTTTCTTCTACAGCTACGTTTACCCTCATCAAAATCGGACAACATGTGAAATCTGTAAAAGCAACAAAATTCCTTTGCACGTTATTGATCATCGAGAGGTCAGTATTCCATAGAACTCGGGTTAGAAATAGAAAGAGGAACGAAACGAACAAAGATTCGAGGAAAGCTTACTTGCCACATTGTTGGCAATACCGCTTGCTCTCACCATCGAGAACCACGGACGAAGCACAAGCACAGCGGAGACAGACCCGGTGACGCCGATGGTAACCCTTAAGCTCCCCGATATCGGCTTCGCACCTCGGCACCTGACACCGGCAGGCGGCCACCGGCGCCGCCCGTGCTTTCCTCGCTCGCTTCCTCTCGCTGCCAGCCGCACCCGTCGTCCCAGCGTCTTCTTTCTCCGCCGGACACGAGCAAGGGGTCCGTCCGGCCACAAAGTTGGAGCAGACGAACCTCGGATCTCGCTTGCGGGCCAGGGCGGAGCCCTCTCCGGCGAGCGCGCTCGGCGGGCGGACGAGGGGCAGCGTGGCGGTATGCGGCGGAAGAGGAGGCATCGGGGAGTCCGACGCACCCATCGTCCAAGGAGGGAAGAGACTGTTGTCTTCGTCGTGGTCGACGGCGAAGTCAAGAAGCCCTCCCCACTCGAAGGCGGCCGCAATGGACTCCACGCCGGAGACCGTCTCCTGGTCTTCCATCTGCAAGAACCCTAACTCTGTAATAATAAAGAAGAAGAAGAAGCTCGGCGGATTGGGAGGAGAGAGAGAGAGAGGGTAATTCTCGACGGTAAACGACTCACCCGCCCGTCGTTTGAGAGGATGGCGATCGGTTCCTACTCCTCCCACTACCACTATAGCATACTTAGGAGCGTCCGCGTGACGTGACATAAATAACCGCCATTTCGTAGTAGTCTTCGTTTCCATTTCTTCTGCACATGCGCGCTAGAAATCAAATTCTCGAAGCAAATATCCTTTTTAACGATTTTTTTTTCTATTTTCTAAAGAATATTTCTATTTATTTAATTTTTTATTTGTATATATAAAATGATATATAGACATATATATATATATAAGCGGAAATTAAAAAGATTACTAAATATTAACGTTAAATAACCATTTTTGGGCATCCGATGAATGAGAGAAGAGAGAGAAAAAAGAGATTGCAAGTGGGGGTTTTGAGTGCGTCCCGTGTGACATTTGGTGCCGGATAAAGATTTATTCTATTCCATGACGACTTGTTTGTGGCGAAGAAGAACGGACAACGACTCGACGCGATTGTGTGGCGTGAAAACCGCCTTCAGAGCCGTCCGTTCGCCGAGACCGAATCCGCCCGGAAGTCAAAAATGGTTATATTATTATTAGATTCTTTCATTGAGAAAGTTCTTTAATGACTATATAATTTCCTTCGGAACAGCAGCAGAGTTCTTTTAATTTATGGCACACATTTATTTTGTTGTTTCTCTTTTCTAAGTCAAACCATTAAAATTAGATGTGTCATTTTCATGACGTGATCCATTATCCATGACATTAGAAATGTTCCTGCGGTCGTCATCTCTGTTTGTGTGCTTTGGAGGGATGGATGCAAATAAATGGGAGTATCTGTCAGTTTTGTATGTGACACATTCATGAAATGCTTGTTGAGATGAAGCATGAGTTGGCCATGCCAATGGCCAATTGTTGTCATGATAGATGATTTGGAGCTCACTTGTGAGGACGCTACCATTTTGAGAGGCTATGCACCCAAATTTGACTACAGTACAAACAATTAAATGGATATTCTATTCTTTAGTGCATAAACATCATCAGATCCTAAACCATATCTGGTTGCATCATATCGAACATACTGATATGATGCAATGCACCACTGGCCTACAGGACAAAGCTCTCAGGAAAACAGCAAACATATCACACAAGAAAACCGAAACAAAAAAAAAAGTGATGGGTACTCTTGAATAGTACCGGGAATCAAGAACTACACATCGGCACAGTAATCGCTTGGTAGCTAGACAGTCCTTAGTCCAGCGATTAGAATGTGATGGTCACACAAGAAGATGCCCGACAGATGGTAATAAGAGTCGGAGTTTCACTATCACGCTTTGAATTACTGCTACAACCTTCTCAATCAACATAAGCAGCAACTGAAACAGAAAATCCCCTGACAACAAGCGAGTGCGCAATTGTCACAAGTATCAATTGTTCCACAATGATCAATGCTCATTCAATCATATGGATGATGTCTATGCCGATCTTTCTCATGTCGATCTCGTCCACAAGATGTGTGTGAGCTATGATATTCACTGCAATTTTCAGAAAAGGTTTACATAAAGTCTCAATGAAAAAACTCTTTGGTTCCCAGAAAAATAAAAATGATAAGGCTAAAAAGAATGCCAACATGCCTCGTGATGAATGATGCCGCGAGTATCTATCCTATAAGAAGAGAGGACTTTCATGATCAAATGGATGCAGGATATAGTTCAAGTGAATCTGCTAGGTATTGAATGAACTCTTACATGATTGCTGGGTAATGAAACGGACGTACATAAGTAAAAACTAAACTGCAAAATGAACTTTGATATTTGCACCTGATCCCTCGTCGTTGCCACTATGTCTTCGCTCTTTTTCTCTTTCACGCTCTAGATCCTTCTCTCGTTCCCTATCACTGTCAGAGTCCTGGACTCCTGGACCCTACCATCATAACCAGAGTCTCTACCTCTGCTATCATGATCTCTGGTCTTTGTCCTCTCCCTATCTCTCTCATGGATCTTATCTGTGTTGGAGTCAGAATTAGAATCAATCTTAGGCATCACTTTAGTCTCCTCCTTGGAATCACCTTCAGCAGGTGCTCTCCTACTGTCATCCCCAAGTTTCATTGTTTCCTTTAATTCGTCTAGTGGTGACACTTTTGTAATTGCTGCTTTGGACAAACTAGCATCTGTAGTTAAAGCTCTGAGCTTTGGGGTACTGGAATCTTTGATAAAAATAACATGCAGTAATCTGTGATCATGGGCTGTGATTCATGTTAAGTTGACCAAATCAGGCCACAAAGTTCAAACTATTTGGTTGCATTAATACCTTCTGAAGTTGAGTTTGCTGATCCTGGATCTTATTTCTTGAGGTGAAAGAATCATTTTCTTTATACATTGGAATATACTGGGCCTTGGAAAGACTATAGAGATGTGCAATAACTCTACAAACTTCATCAATCCCAAAATTAGCTGCATCAAAAACTAACCGCCAGGGTGGGTTTTCAGGAAGGGGGCCTGGAACTTGCAGGCTGCAGCATATACAACACCTCATGCTACCACTTCACTCTTGAACCGAACACATAGAGTTGTACGCAAACTTGCAAATTATGGAGAAAATTGTCAGTCTAACATGAGGCTTTCTGAAAATGCAAAAGGACAAATCTCTATGAAGAGTGAAAAAAGAACATACTTTACTTGCTACATAATAATAATTATTGAAAAAAAGCACTAGCAGTTTATGACTTAGTCCTCTTGCCTAACTGCCCGGCGTTTGGAAGCAGCAATAGCCCGCAAGTAGGTCCCACACGGGCTCATTATTGAATTCACAACTTAATCACTGCTGGATTTTATGTATTAAGTTCCCTATATATATATATATATATATATATATGAAAATTTTAACATCTTAAAACAACAAAATTAATGAGGTAGGCAAACATATATAATCATTCATGAACATATATCATGATAGAACAACCTCACTTAGCATGACTTGACCCCATGCCTCAATCTTCCAAGAGACATCTGTTGCCTAGACACATCCAGATTGTGTTTCATACTCATGGTCGACACTGCAACTCTTTAAGTTCTGCCCACCGTATTTGGGTAATATATGTGAATAAAAAGGGCAAATCCATTGCACCAGTTCTCCCACCAATGAATGTAGGTCCTATGGGGGATCAGTATAAGCAGCTTTATGCTCTATAATAAATCAGTTTATGGGCAAGAAATATATAACAAGGAAGAAATAATAAGCTGGAATAATGAAAAGCCAAGTATTAACAAATAAACTGAATCATTCAAAGAATCTCTAGAACATGAAAAATATATGAAGAAATAGTATAAGGATAAAGTTACCATGACAATTAACCATCGGGAACAGCAATGCTCTTATAAATCAAAAATAAAACAAGAAATCACCTATCATTTGCTAGATTCCAGGCTTCCTGCCTCAGCTGAGGAGATACTTCAAGTGTTGCAAGCTAGTTGGATATAAACTTATGAGGATGTTCAACATGGCAAATAAAGTCCATTTCTTTCAGCAAATGTTGCTCAGTCCCAACCAAATCGTTCATCAGCTCTGTATATTTCTGTTGTGAAAATAAGACAGAAAGAACAGCATATATAAGAAAAAACGACATCAACCAGCATGGTGATGCACTAATCTGGTATAACTTCAAGAATGAGAAACCTTTAGCGATAACATAACATCAAACAATAAAAGCAGAATAACTAAAAGATCTAACCTGTGCCAATCAAATGCATCTGCATAGAGATTACATAATTTGATAAGAGAAATTACA